AAGACATAAGGCTAAAAATAGTAACAAAAAAATATGACGTAATTATGATGTAATATGGGTGTGGTCTCACAGAGCAGGTCTTGATGTGAGAGTTGAGGTCACACTGAGTAGACACACGAGTGAGGACAGTGAGATCAGCAATAGGAGACATCACTTTAAGGATACAAAAAATAATTTTATTACTAGTGCAAATTATCGTGTTTTTTAACTTACAATTTCCAAATATGCAAGAAGACAGGATGGCCGCAGCAGCTTGTACTTGAATGTCAGGATCATCAGTCAGATGACAGACTGTTGGAATAACCAGTGGGAACAATATTCCCATTGTGCCAAATGCCTAAAATTAGAAAAGAAATAATATTGAAATATTACTTTAATTAGAGAGTGATCAACGTACTGATCCAGTGCAGTAGGCCATGAAGTATCCAATGATGGTTGTTATCACTGGAACATAATCAGCAGAAATATTACCAGAACGGAGTACCTGAGCAATGAAATTACTAGTCTGAGTCTCCTATTAGAGGAAGGAAAAGACAAATTAATAATGCAACAGAAATGAATAATCATCCACTCTTGATACTATTAAAGCATTTACTGTGAATGACATTAACAAATCAAACAAACATGACAATAAATTCTAATGAAAGTGAATGCGGCTATGGATGAGCTAATATTATAATAACATACAGTAATGACACTGCCTAGTGCCCAAGCAAGAACAAGGATAAACAACGGCTCAATGACATCCTTCACTCCTTCAATCCAAGAGGTCATCACTTCAGAGAATGAGAGTATCTTCTGGACCATTAACATAACAGAGAGGATAAGAGTAGCCAGACAAACGCTCCATATGACAGCAGCCATGGCATCAGCATTACCAAATATATTAGTAATAGACACTGATATCCTAGCATTAGAGAAACATGAATGCAAGTACATGTATAATAGTATTAATAATTGATGTACATGTATATAAAATCAAAGCACGGTAATCTGGGCTTAAGCACAAGTATAAGTACTGAAATGTGTTTTGAGTGCCAATTAGATTGTGCTTATACTGGTAGTTTAAACACAAGTACACAAGCACTTCATGAAATGCTAAGTACTGATTTATGTGCTAGTGCTTGAAACTTAAAGCACATTAGTAAATCTGAGAAAGTATTTAAGTATAAGTACATGTACAAAGTACAGACATATTTTTTAAAAGGTTCTTGCAAGCAGCACTAGAAACTGTGCTTATTTGTGCTTTGGGTCAAGCACCAAATGCTTTGACCCATGCCTGGTACATGAAATAAGCAATAGAGATAAAATGATGTACATGTACATGTAAATTACTAAGCAATATACAGAACTACAGTAATGAGGTGAGAGAAAAAAGGAGAGAGAAAGAGGTGACATATGTGTTGAAAGTGGTGGTGTGGCTACCTTTCATTGCTATCATCTTTGTTGTTTTCTCTGATGAACCACCAACCGTCCAATATCATACCAGAAAATGTTAGAACGATTACAATAACAAAAGGAATGATAGCATTAAACCTTAAGAAACAAAATAATAAATTAATTTATATTTTACACATTCATTATGTCATTCTTCATTCCCAATCTATCTCACCCACTCAATCTTTCCTTATTCTTTTTCTCTCCCTCTCTCTTCCTCGCTCCCCATCTCCTTCCCTTCCTTTATTCCTTTTTCCACTCTCATCCTCCCTCCTCCCTCCCTTCCCCTTTGTCTTATTCCCATCTTCTCTTTTTTCTTTCTCTCTCTATTACCATCTGTGAGGTACTCCACGTTTAGGAGACAAGGGTCCTACAAATTAACATAAAAATAAAATCCATCCCACTCCTCCTCCATACCTTCACTAGTGTCCTCCAAGTCATCATTATTAGATATATCTGAGGAGCAATGAAGCTCCTGCCTATCACCCCTGGCTTCTCTTTCAGTTAAAGGAGGAGAAACAGAAGGCCGTGAAACTGGAACTGGTGGAGGAATGGCTTGAGTTGATCTGTGAAGTTCTTTATAACTTTCTCTCTCAGAAGTGAGCATACAAGCAAAGTCACGGTTTAGTATACAGACAAGGATGACGCAAAAGAGCATCAGTATTGGTAGGAACCTGTATGCTGTTTGATATGAATAAAAATAACAAAATTAACTTAAGAGTTTAGGCATACATGGTACATAAACATGTACATGTATGACTCACATAGGGCTGTACAAAATAATCAGGATACTATTTATTGAAAAACAATTTTATGGAATAAAAATTTATTTAAATGATATAAAACAGCATCTTAACAACAAAACGTGCTCTATTATAGTGTAATTATTTGTATGAATCAAATTCATTTTTTTCAAAATTCAATATCAAGCTGTTTTGTGAAAAAACAAAAACTTTTTAATTTTTGTAGCTATACCGTATAGCGGAAAATTTTTAGTGGCCCAAAAAATTCAAGGATCCATTCAAAAATCAATTTCGTGGCTTCAATTTTCGTGGTTTTCTATTTTTCAGCCATCTTAAATCGTAGTGAATCAATTTTTGTGGATTTTGAAAAAATGCAAAATCCACAAAAATTTTGGGCCACGAAAATTTTCCGCTATACAATAATTTATTTCATGTGAAATTAATTTTCATGAGGTTCAAATCCACTAAAATCAATTTTTACTAAATTTTATGAATGTCATTAAATGACAAAAGTTTAGTAAATCACAAAAATTAATTTTAACAGTAGTTATTTAAACATTGAAAATTGAGGCCACAAAATAAATCAGCTACATACAGTACCTTAATATTATATACCCTTACACTCATAATTATATCAACAAAGACACAATTATTAAATTTTGTTGCATAATAGTACTGTGTCATTTAATTAAGAAGTACATGTACATCAGCTCTTTTTTGAGCTAATTCCAAAATTTCTCATTTTCAAGAAAGTATTGACTATCATGTCTTCATTCAAAAAATGGCCTGAAATTACACCCTATTTTTATTACATTTTGTACATGTAGTTCTTTTACTAAAAATGTTAAATTATTCCAACTAAAAATTTTAAAGCTAACCTTGTCTCAGATACCATATATCAGTTTATTTTTGCGGTAGAAAATTTTCACAAATCTTGCATTTCTAAGATTTCGCAGAATCAATTTTCACAAATGGTTTGCAGTGCAAATGTAGAATTTCAAAAAAAATTTCACAAAGGAGCAAGAAACCCTAAAATTTGCAAAAATATTTCACCGCAAAAATAAACCGGTATACAGAACTCTTTCTTTCCTTCCTGTCGATGTAGCAATGTATGTATAATTGCTATACATGCAGTATCATGTTCTATCATAATCATGATTTAGTAATTCACCCAAAAAATCAGTAAAATATACATGTATGCCACTTCTGATTCTTATATTCAAATAATCGATATTATAATTCATGTACAACAATGGTTTCCCAGCAAGTATACCACATGTAAGTGAACTGTAGCATGCTGCACTACAATACAGTACATGGCAATTGGAGCAACTTTAAAAATTTATTTTAAAATAAATTTTGCTTGGAATCAGTTAAAAATTCAAAACATAACATATGGACAAGTACCGTAAATCCTCAAATAAAAGCCCAGGCATCTAATTTCATAAAATGACATTTGGACCTCGAAAAAAAGTGATAAAAATTGAGCCAACAGTGGGATTATAACTCAGGACCTCACACAAGTAATTTCAGGGTATAACCAAGTATTTACAAGGCAACAGTGACATTTGTAGGCTACATTTGCGTATTTATACTTCTATTTTATTCCTAACAAGGCGTTTATTTGTACCCTGCTTTTATTTGAGAATTTACAATATATGCATCAGAAAAAATAATTAAAAAAAATTTCTCATAGCCATTTAATAAATTTTGACCAAAGTCCCTGTTATAGTAAAGGGGGTGTTTGGCCCAAGTTTTAATATTCAAAATTCATAAAAGATATATTTATATCAGCTCAAATTTGAAACATAACATAAGGACATATATATGCATTAGAAAAAAATTTAAATGGAGATTTCTCTCCTACCCATTTTTGACAAAAATTTGACCAAATTCCCTGTACTATGGTACAGGTTTTTTCGCCAGATTTATGACCAACTTTTAAAATTAAAAAAAACCAAACTTTAATTGGAGTCAGCTTAACTTTCTACACAAATAAGAACGTGTATAATTAGATGTATGTATCAAAAAATTATAAAAAGGAGCACTCTCTTCTTGTGATTTTGTCAAAATATGCTGTGCTATAGCACAGGGTCTTTGGCCCAAATTTGAGCAACTAGACAATCTACTGGCAAGAAGTCACATGAGCACTACACCTTGAATACAACACTAACAGCTCAGCACATCCGCTACATGCCAAAATTTAAGTAGATGTACATGTACAAACATGTAGTTATTACTATTTTACATGTAGGAGCAGTGAATTCCATAAATATACAGCAGGTGTACTATTTTCAAGCAACTCCTTTAAACTTTCAGGCTACATCACTCGTGGAGTATTTACTACATGTACTATACGTGTACATTACTAATGGGGAATTTTTTATCTACTTGTATACTATCTGTTTACATGTACTTATGTGCATATATATTTACGTAGTGAGCGTGATACGATTTCAAATGGAGAATACTTGTTGGGTGTAACAGAAACACAGTTGTCGAAACCAGAGCTAACATACCCCAACTGAGCACCAATCCAACTGAAGAGAGAGAGAGAGAGAAAGAGAGAAAGAGAGAGAGAGAGAGAGAGAAAGAGAGAGAGAGAGAGAGAGAGAGAGAGAGAGAGAGAGAGAGAGAGAGAGAGAGATAAATGAGATTCAATAGAGTACAGTGTACCTTGATATTGGTATGAAGCTAGCCATTGTTGGTGCCATACTTTGAATAATGAATGCAAACTTATCCTTACTGACACCAGAGCTTGCCATAACCTGTATAAAAAAAGATCTTATTAAGATACAATAATCCATAACTACATGCATCTATGTACAGTGAGATCTCCTTAACAAAAACCTCTATGCATTGATAAATTTAATGTACCAACCACCAACTTACATGTACATGTACATGTAATTCCCTTTCAACTACAAAACACTTCTTTAATGAAAAATTCCATGCAAAAGATCAGTGTCCCAAAAGTTTTGTTAACTTACAGTTCTCATGCTGGTTCCCACAACTAATATACTTGTGTAGTCATCAAAGAATATTAGAAGACACACACAGAAACAAATAATGGAAGCCCTACAAGACAAATGAAAGAAAGAAAAGAGAGAGAGGGAGAGGAGTGGTAGATGAAGGAGTGAGACGGATGTTATGAAATGCTTCAGTTCACCTTCGATTAGTTTTGGCAAAGCGCCTGAATATGTTAGCTAATCCCAAGCCACCACCCGATCTCTACAAAGGATAAGGAATCATTATCACACGATAATCATAAGTGCACTACCAACCTGTACTAGGCCAATTAGACCACCAAGGAAAAAAGTGCCAATAATAATCTGAAAAAAATGTAATAATATTTACCTTTCTCTCTTAATTCTCTCTTCCTAAGTTCCTCTCTCACTCCCCTCTCCCTCTCTCTCTTTCCCTTTCCTTCTCTCTCTGTCTCTCTTCTCCTCCCTCTCTCTTTCCCCCTCCCTCTCTCTTTCCCCCTCCCTCTCTCTCTTCCCTTTCCCCTTCTCCTTCCACACACTCACCTCAGCATGGTCAAAGTCTCCCATTGAGCTAACAATGTAATAATCTAAAACAAATTAATTATTCATAAAATTATTATCATTAAATAATACCAAGAGTCCTGAGAAGAGCTGCAAAGACATTATATTGACGTGCTGTTTGAAAGAGAGAGAGAGAAAAGGGAGAGAGGGAGAAAGAGGGAGGGAGAGGGGCAAAGCAAGTGGTTTAATGCAACAAGTTTACTTACCAAGACAAGCAGATAGCCATATTCCAATTAAAAGAGCCAACAGAACTTGCCTACATAAAAAGTATTGACTTATGAACTTTCATTATATATACATAATACCAATTACAATGCATGGATGCTTTAAGGTGTGAGAGTCCAAAGTTGACATTTTACTAAAATGTGCTTAGAAAAACCATTACAGTTTCTGATAATCCTTATTATGTGTAGAAGCTTTTTACGCAAGGTTTAATTTTTATTTTTATAATATTCTAAGCTTATAACGTACAGCTGACGACTCTATAATTTTTAATTTTTATCATGTTCATCTACACAGGTACAAAGTAGGTACAATTTGCACCTGCGAATGTCTAAACTACTGTTAACCGCAAACGCCTTAAAAATGTGGATACGTCATGGTACGTAATTTCACGTAATACCTTCCGCCTAAATGCCTCAAACTAGCAAGTACACATGTTAAAGGGTTTTTACCAAGTTAAAAGGATTTGTTAAAGTAATTTATGACTTGATGATTGGCTTAAATGAATTCAGCAAGGGCATGTGCTGAGCACATGCAACAGAGGAATAGCAGTAAACATGAGAGAGTACTAGTACTACATTATACTGTATATATTTATAGTCAAATATAATATCTAGTTACAATAATAACTGTCACATGAATGACCAATGTTATTTTTGTATCCCTCAGAAGCTCATAATGATTAGCATTGCCAATGAATATTCTCTCAAAGACATAAGACTGGTTTCTCTTTCATGTTTAGCTGGGATTTTCATTTTGTGAATATGACATTTATACTAACCTAAAAGCAATGGCAATGACTGCAGTTAATATTGGTGGCAGTATAGTCAACCAGCCTGGAATTGATAGGAGAGTCTAAGTGAAATAAGAAGAAATGTTATTAGTATCAGCCTTGGATGAGTAGAGTCAAGGAATGAATGTACATGTATTGTGTGTACCTGTGTATTGCTGCATAGTTCTGTTCCATCTTGATCAATCATTTTAACAGTGAGAGTATGATGGCCCTAAGAACAACATTAAGAAACACAAGAATTATGTAAATTTGAAGGAAAGAAAAACCAGATTATGCTGCCAAATGTCATTGAGCACTTGAAACAAAATGGTAAATTTTGTATTGGTGGTTTCTTCACAAAATGCCAGTATAATTCTTGCCCAAAAAATCATCTTATGCAAATACACTTTGAATTTATGTACAATACCCAATAACTACCAATACTTTAAGACTTTGGCAGAGTTAGAATTGCAAGTACTATACAACTTAGTTCACATACAGGGCCAGGTCAAACTTTATTATTATTATTATTATCACTAGTGTATGAGACAGTACACATGTGCTTGCAATTTGCATGCACAACTTATGATACGAATTTTTGTTTGTTACCATATGAAGTGTCTCATTTGCATCATCAAATGGAGCATCAGTAAATGTATGAGAGAGATCAGCCATTCCATTATCTTTAACAGTTGCGATACTGCCACTAAACAATAGGATACCTGCAAACATGCACAGGAGAGAGAGGAAGAAGGAGGTGTTAATGGTACACGTGTATATATTCGACCATACCATCGCTGTTGAGCATCGTAATGTTAATGTTTTCCGGTAGAGGAACACCAACATCTAAATAAGGAGGAAGATCCACAATAAACTGGAACTGTATACTACAAAAAGAATGATGTTAACATGGCTGCTTCTGGAAGGTTTTTTCCATACTTTGCAAGCAGGATTGAGGGATAGGTAACTTTAAAAGCTGAGGAACAATTTTGCTCCATGTCTCCGGACTGTCCTGTGATAGGAGAGACAAGGAAAAGAGCAAGAAGGAGAGAGACAAAGAGTGACATCTTTTACAATTTGCAGACAATGCCGCCAATTAAAAACCACGCCCACTAGTTATAAGAGTTAATTCATTGTTATGATGACCTACAATGAATTAATAAAAAATTATTGTTCTGAAGGAAATGATGCAATAGATTTCAGTCATAATGAATTCATAGACTCAATCTATTTTTAGCTGCCAATGCTGCATCTAGTCTATACTTAGACTCTTGTAAATTGTCCATAATAATTGAATCACTGGAATGTGCATAACTGTTGTTATTATAATTATAAACACAAGACAAAAATAATAAAATAAAATACACAAACGCAAAGTCGGGGATATGCAAAATAACAAAAATGATGATAATCATAACAATAATAATAATGAGGAACTGAATAAATCTGAGAAAAAATTATTGTTTAAATGCAAAAGGAAACAGTTAACAAGAGAAGGGGAAGATGGGACTGGAAAATAGTACAAATAACATTTAAATTTCACATGTGACTGTGTGTGTGGGATGGGGTGTGCACGTGTGTCTGTCTATACCAAACTAGCAAGATGATTGAAAAACAATTATTCCACTATAGGAAGATTACAAGTCGAATGATTATCACTACTTGACCCAAGAGGTGGTTGCCAATAGACCAGTAGCAGCAGGTTGTAAAGGATTAACGACGCAAGACCCTACGATTGGAACAGTGGGTCCAACCCAAGACCCACCCATACCCTGCGAGGCAATATAAGCCTGTAGGTCAGTCGGTGGGGCTAGGGTAAGGGGCATCCCTCCAGTTTGATGCCCTAATCCCTGGGGGACTAACCCAAGAACCTGAGAGGAAGGAGGCTGGACTAGTGGTAGCCCACTAACACAGAGTGGTTGCTGCTGATGGATATCTGGTAGAGTAATGAAATTAGCAGTTGTTGGAGTAGGGTGATGACCATAGCCATACACATGTAATAAGGCGTATTGTTGTTGTTGTTGCTGTAATTGTAGTAATTGTTGTTGTTGTTGTTGCATGTGATGGAGTGCTTGTTGGTCTATCCGTTGTTGGTGGATCTTTTGTTGCTCTATGTGTTGCTGGTGCTGTAGCTTCTGCTGCTCTTGTAATCTGAGTTGTTTTTGATGTTCCTGTATCCTCTTGGCTATGAAGACATGAGCGTTAGACCATTTGAAGTCTTTTGAAGTTGTTGACTATAAAGAGAGAAAGAGAGAAGGAGCAAAAGAGAGAGAGAGGAGGAAGAGAGAAGGAGAAGAGAGAGAAAGAGAGAGAAATAGGAGGAAAGTGAATAACAATATTGCAATGTACACTACTAGTGATAGATTACCAAGAATGAACAAAAGTACAAGTATATAGGAAATATCTACAGGTGACAGACAAACACGTCTCTTCCTCCAACTCTCCCCCTCTCTCTCATTAAATTACAATTCACACTCCATACCTTATTAGCTTGGCTTTGGGGCTGCTGTTGACTCACTGATGAATCTTCACTGACATTCTTACAATACAACACCTTCAAACAAAATAACAATCAATCATTAAAGAACAATAAGAGCATAGCAATATAAGTGCACTGAATACATATACAGTATTAAAACAATGCATACATTTATGTGTACTAACATAGGATTGAGATACCCCTACATGAATATGTATTGGGCCAGGTGATCGATCCAAGGGTGTGTGACTAACAGAACGTGTGGGTATAACAGACTATGTCAATTAATCCATATTACTATTGCATGCATAGACAATAGAAAAATGTGCACATGCAAAAATCCATAGCATGCCAGCTATTACAATATCATAAGCTAAAAGAATACAATTATAAGAATTGGATTAAATCAAGTCTCATTGGATGGGTAGTCTGTACGGCACCATGCTAATCAAATTAAAGACTCAAATGATGCCACCATTGGGCTGATGTCCAATACCCATTCACACTTGTAGGATTTACTCTCTCTCTCTCTTATCTCTCTGATTAACAATGGAGTATACACAATGTGTGATTATCTAGAAATGTATATTTGGGCATATCTAACTGATATAGCTCTCTCTCCTCCTCCATCCCTTCTCTCCCTTTTCTTTCTCCTTAACACTGCCTTCTCTCTCTCTCTCTTTCTCTCTTTCTCTCTCTCTCTCTCCCTCCTCTCTCTCTCTCTCCTCTCTCTCTCCCTCTCTCTCTCTCTCCCTCCCTCCCTCCCTCTCTCTCTCCCTCCCTCCCTCCCTCTCTCTCTTCTCAACACAATGCAATATAGCATGTTTTCTAACAGCAAACTAAAATAGAGTTACACTATTTGGTGCATAATTAGTACACAAAAGTCCTTTCAGTGCAGCCAGGGATAGTTAAACTATACAATAGTTAACAAAAGGAATCAGGTGGTAACAATGGCTCTATACTGTATGTGTAACAGTATTGTAAGATGTTTAAGTTACCTGTTTATTAGTTGTGTCTTGTTGCTGGACAAGTTGATACTGATGTGGCAATTGTAATACTATAATGAAAGAGGAAGAGAAAGGAAAAAGAGAAAGTGGGAGAGGAGAGAGAGAAGGAATGATTCATGATACGATAAAAACAATCAACAAACACTGAAATGTGTACACTCTCCCACTCTCACTCCTTAAAAAAGTAGCTATTATTATCTCTACTATCATTTTGAAAGCAAAAACAAGTCAATTATCAAGTGAATAGGAGCGAGTTTAAATCAAATAAGGTTTATGACATCTATTAATGATATAATAAAAATATATGAACGGCCAAATACATAACAATACATGTAATCCTCATTATACCTGTGTTATTATGAGGGAGGCCCATTGAAGCAGTAATGGGTACATGGACATACTGTGGAGCTGGTACAGCCATTACGTGTGAAGTACTGATCCCATTCATTGAAGAGGGCACAGGATGAGTCAATGTAGAAGAGGAATGGGAGGAGGGAGGGCTGGTCGTTGGTATGGTAGTCGTGACAGAGCGGTTTGAAGTATCATCTGATAGCCTGCTGTGTGACTCCTTATTTGGAGAAGAGAGGCCATGAGACTGTAGCTGCTGCTGCTGCTGCTGCTGTCTTCTCTTCTTACTTGATAACCGCCTGAGGGTAAAGAAGGAGGAGGAAAAAAAGAATAACAACATTACTATTACACAATGAAACAGTAGACTGTATTTTTATACACGTACATGTAGATAGTGCATTGACATACAAGATTATGTATACACTTAAATGGGTTTAAGAGTCTTACCTTTTAGCTATTAGGGATGTTGTAGTGAAGTCAGTATTAGCAATGATTGACTCTTTGGGTATCTCAGTGGGTAGAGGAGGAGGAGGAGAGGAGAGGATACAGGGAGGAGGAGGATGGTGAGGAATATGTGTAACAATGGTCTCCCAAGGACCGGACTTGGCTGGACATAATATGGCAGTCCTACCATTCAAGCCAGGAGCAGGCTGTGAGAGAGGAAGGGGGAGGAAGAGAAGAAGGGAGAAAAAGGGAGGGAGGGAAAAAGAGGGAGGGGAGAGAAAAGAAGGGAGAGAGAGGCAGGAGTGAGAAGAGAAAAAGGAAGAAAGAGATGAGATACAGTAAGTCAGTAAGTGAATTTTAAGCCATAAAACCTCATTAGTATCATAGTAAGTGACACAATTCCAATTACGCAAAACTACTCAAAGTCTAAGATTACATATAAAATAACCATCAGTATCAGTTTACTAGCTTAGCCCACACCAGAAAAATTATAAGGGCGCACACACAAAAACATAAAAGATACATTTTATGTATGAAACCATACGCTATTAGAATATATACAGAACATGTACATGCACAATATACATGTACATGTACACACATACATGTACACGTGTACAATTGTACCTCATATACCTATTTACGCAAGATGCACTAAAAAGTTTAAACTAATAATCTGATGCCATACTAATATCTCTCTTCAAAGAGTGTGTCTTGGCTTTGAGGCTATAGTTAAAATTGTGTTAATGGATACGTAGAGTTGTTAGGCAAAGGAGATTAACCCGTGTATAGCAGTAAATGGACCCTCTGGTATTTAGGAATGTAGCCACTCCTAATTACCTTAACTAAATGTTTATCGTCATGTGAAATTAAAAGTAAGAATTGATTGAGCAAGAATATCAATATAATTTACTCTATAAATTTAATCATACACATATTGTACGTAATAAGTCATTTAGTAGTACATCTATCGTATTACTTTAGATGGACTGTGTGTGTGTGTGTGATTTTTCCACTGTTTGTCGGTATTGGTAGGTAAACCAAGTCTATGTAAATTCAGACAGGTGTGAGTTTGATTTACTGTTTGCATGCCAGTCATTAGGAGGGTGTGCTGTTTTGCATGTAATTGCATAGATACAAAAAACTGGCAGAGTGGGAGTAGGAATGACTGTATTGTACTTTAAATAGCTGTTAATAGGTGCCCAAAGATATACAGTTGCACAAGACACATACCAACCACCCAACAAAGACAAAAACAGCTACTAATGTACACTGGAGTCATGGACTGACCTGTAGTGATGCTGGTATTAGGCCGTGTGTTGTCATTGTACAAGCAGTTAGATCCATCTAAAGAATGAGAGAGGGGGGGAGGGAGGGAGAGGGAGGGAGAGAGAGGGGAGGGAGGGAGAGGGAGAGACAGAGAGACAGAGAGAGGGAATTGGAAAGGAAGAAGGAAGGCAGAGATTACAAGGAAAGAGTAGTGATTTTACAGTCACAAAGTCTGAAAGTGCAAACAATTTCATATTCAATCAGTGACTTACTCCACAAGCCCCAGAAATACACTAAACCAATTAGGCTGGGCCTTGTAAGGCTGTACCTACACTAACACTATAGACTCTCCTATCTTCCCCTTAACAACAACACTAAAACCAATCAAACCACATAACACACATCATAAAACATGCACACACACACACACAACACTCATGTACATAACTCTAACATACGTGTACACACATGTCCCTACACTACACAGTAACACTCTTCGTTACTCGCATCATTTACTCTTTCAATTACTCTTTCAATTAAAACTACTCACATATACACATAGTACTATTATCAACTGTCATAAACATCTGTCTCCATACACAATACACTAATGGAATACACAATATACTATTGTAATGATCACTAAAGGCATTATTTGTACTATGGCATTGTTGTAATGTAGTGGTGATAGTGAATTAGTGTTTAATCTAATATGAGGAACACTGTATGGAATATGAACTTGTGTCCATTCAATCAAGTATTAATATTATTCTTACTATGATATTGATTACGCACATGTAGGCTGCCAACACCTCGAATAACAAGCATTGCAATAACATTTACGTAGATGTACATATTGAACAAAAAATTAATGATGATCAAATTCTATCACTTCTCTAATGTAGCTTTCAATGTCTTTAATCCTCATTTGTCATCCTCTCTCCTCTTTCCCCTCCTCCTTCCTCTTTCTCTCTCTGGGGGTCTTTGTTTAATATCTCTCTCACTTTCTCACACACACACACACACACACAGAGTGTCCCTTTGTCCATTCAGTTTCCCACTCTTCCTTTCTTAAACACTCTATGCCCACGTCTGCAAGGACAGTGCATGCAAAGGTCAAACACAATGTAATGACAGTCAAAACAAGATGGCAAAGAATTCATGGTAGTCACATTATGAATATAAACAATAAAACTCAATAATAAAGATATCTTATGAACCACCACACAAAGGCAACATTAATGATAAGCAATTGAATATCATTAAGGACAAGTATCAAATGAACAAGCATCTTTATGAATATAATAGTATACAGTATCAAATTTTATAGTTCTAACAGCAAATGTAGGTGGGTGTTCTTAAAGATATCATTAATGAGAGACACACATATGATTATATACATGTACATGTAGACCCAAAGCAACCACACACTCTCCAGGCCTTAAATATCATATAATATCTTTCCTTAATGTGTGGAGTGATGTGAGAGGCAGCCATAGAGAAATGTGCCCATGGGAAAGGGAGTGTGAGAGTGAGTGAATATTACACACCCAATGGTTACCCTGTACTAACACTGGTCACCTTCCATTAGGCTAGTATAACACGAATGTATAATAATGATAATAATGATATAAATGTAGTAACAAACCATTAGTCTACTGTCTACAAAGTAAAGATTTTTTTGAGAAGTTTAAAAATGAACAATTTGTACAATAATACTAAGGTCGTCAACTTTTCAATAATAATCAATAATAATAATAATAACAGTATAATGATGATAATAATAATGACAATATGCTGGAATGCAGTGTAAGACAACACAATTTACACATTTCAGTACAATCAAGAGTAAATAATTATCCACTCTTGGTATAATGCAGGTACATGTACATCTGCAGCAATACATGTATAAACATGTACATGTACATTTTCCACCCAGGGCACATTAAATAGAGTAACTACTGCATAAAATCAGATTATTTCACTGTGAGTCTCTTTGTTTTATCAGTTGATATTATTTTTAGAGACAATCATACTGTAATGACTCGTACCGTGACTGGACGCTCTTGCTATTTCTTTCCTGTTGCGACGTAGAGCTACCTCTCTTAACCTCTATCCTGTTACAGATATAGCAGTAAGGAGTAGCAGGAGAAATGCTGGCGAGTTTCGTCGTCGTCGTCGTCAACCCAAGTCAGTGACTCCGGTGTAGAGAGAGCTGCTGATTCACATAAAAATCGATCAATTTTCATTATGTATACTCGCGACTTCCGTATACTATCCGGAACTACTCCGTATACTAAGAAGTTTAATTTTCTTTTTATCATCAATTTTTACAAAGTAAAATAATTTATTTTGAAAATCATATCTAAGCTACAAATCGAAATAAAAGCAACAGCTAAGTGTTTAATCAGTACAGTAATAATAAAATTATTATAACAAAACAATAATAAAATCTACAGGCTATCATGAGAGACAAAATATTAAAACACAACAGTTATGCCTCTTATCTATTGGTAACTTTGAATTATTTGCCTATTTGCCAGGACCAGAAAGACTCTTGTCCATGAAACGTCTTTTAGTGAAGCAAATCCACCACTGAGAAGTGAGAAAGAGAGAGAGAGGGGGGGAGAAAAAGAGAGAGGGAGGGAGGAAAAGAGAGAGAGAGAGAACAAGAGAACACACAGCATCATCAACATATGTCAAAGTGAAACAAACACAAGGACAGAAATGCCATTGCTAATGGAATGCTACAACTCTGTCAAGAGACTATAGCCAAAGAGGCACTTTAATTCTCACATTAGCACAATCACTATTGTCTACCAGTCATACATATCCTGTTTACTCGTCTCCTTCTCTCCCTTTCCCTCTCTCTTTCTCTAGGGGCATTTTAAGTCATTACACACTAGCCCTAAACCCTTATGTACTCTTGACACTAGATTGATCTGGTAGACAAGTCATGAATGGTAACAGTCTGGCTTTCAATCAGCAATATATAATGTCCCCCACAAACACTAGACCTAATTATTCATACTACCAATGACTCGTGTGCCTCATATCTACTGCCTCCTCTCTCACTCTCTCTCTTTCCCTCTCTCTCCCCCTCTCTCCCTCCCTCCCTCTCTCTCTCTCTCCTACTTTGCTTGGCTTGTCTCCATCACCAAAAACCTTTTCCACAAGACGCTGGCCAAGCTCCTGCCTCATCTGAGTAAAGTACTGACGCATTTGATCTAAAATGATAGAAATGATACATAGAATGACTTTAGTACTTCCATTCCCTCTCTCCCTCTTACCAGCTTCAGCCCTCGAGGCTGGTTTAGACATGAAGCTATTAAGGGGGAAGTTGGGGTCACCAGGGATATCAAAGCTGCTGACTGCAAGAGTTGCCAGTGACTTCTGAGCCTCAACACGATTTGGGGCCTAAGAAATAAAATAGAATTATTTATTGTATGGTAGAGTGAACAAACTAACAATACAAAATTACTGTGAACAAATGTACCAATAAGTCACACAAGAAACATGAATGCGCGTATGTACATGTACAAGTATTTATGGGTGGCTTTTGTTCATGCGTACATGTACTTACTCTTTGTAGTTTCTTCAAGCATTCACTAATGTAGAGGGTTAAATATATCATCACTCTATCAGCTGTTCCCTATAAAACAACATAAACAAGCCAAAGTACACAGGCACGTAATGTCATGAAAGCAAAAGGACAACATGCAATATGTATACAAGAGATATGGTTGGCCTTAATGGAGCACAATAGAGTATTAGTTTCCATAAGTAGATCAATGCGTGTAATTGTAGAGTATAATGATATTGTAACAATATGCAATTATAGTACTCCTAATATCCTTCTATGTCATCTCCCATAGTCTCTCGTTGTAACCCCCACCCCCTCCCTCCCCCTCTCTATTTCCTAAACTTTTTCTAGGTGTGTACATATACATGTATATGTACATGTATATTTTGACTTGTTTCCTAGCATCTGTCTATATCTCCATCTGTCTTTCCCCACTTCTTCTTCCCACAATCTTCACCAAAAACAAACCAAGTCTAACAACACCAGCTGTCACACATCAAAAACCAATCGAATAAGAACTATCACAGTAATCATGCCCACACAGAAAGGAAAAATAGTCGATTATGCTATTACTCAAATTATAGAGAAAATGAAGCACACATGAATGCACAGGTGATTTTAACATTTTACCAAATGAGGAAACTGTAATAAGCATAGACATTATAATAATAATAACATATTGCTGTAATAATTAAAGACACTTTGAAATCTGACAACACAATTTTTCAGCCATCTGTATGCTGTCATTGCTACAAGCAAACACTTACCAAATGTATTTACATTTTACAAAACATACAAGATGGTCTATTGGTGGGAGCAAGAGTAGATAATAATTAGAGGAGAGTGTCCTACTGGCTATAAGGTCTGCTTCATCATGGCGTAGAATTGAAGAGTCACATTCAGGTTATTTCCGTATTTTCATTGAGTTTGAGTAGTTATTTTCAAATAACTACTCAAAAATACTGAAAATATCCTGAATGTGACTCTTCAATTCTACGCGGTGATGAAGCAGGGGGTATAGGCACAGTAGGACACTCTCCTCTAATTATTATCTACTCTTGGTGGGAGTAATATTAGCCGAATTTGCCTCTGGAAAAGAAACTGGCAGATTTTATATTGGCGATTATGTGCCACATGCCATTGAGCATGCTCAGATTAAAACAAAATGGCAGATTTTATATTGGCGATTTCTTGATAGAACCGCCAATCGCCTATATTAATTCCTCACCAATAAATCATCTTGTACGATATACACTGTACTACCATGCAATAACCCTTTAACACCAAAATTAATTTTGGAATAAAAATAATTTTCTGGTGGTACTAGTTTAGCAATGCATATCTCTCAAGATCTTGTCCTGTGAGACTTGAAACTTGCTAGCAGCCTTTATGGGATGTTTATCCTTAGACAGAATAAGTATTTAGTAAATGAAGCAGCATAAAGCAATGCAGCGTCTATTGTAAAGATACTCACCGCTTTATTTGACTACACGGACTTGGCGAAGGGAAAGAGTGAGTTCTATCATGTTAAGCAGGGCCTAGTATGCAGGATGTGAAAGAATGAAGAGGCAGAAGTCAGTGGAGAAGATGCTACGAGTAGAAACGCTACTGTGATTCATCGAGGAGGCATGGCTGCTAAGCCGTTGCTAGGCAAAATGTGGCCACATCCACCGCTTTTCTCCATTGAAATGTTAGGCAAAGCAGCTCTCTCGAGTCGCTCGCCTTTTCTGCTCAGTTCTAGAGGATTTCACAAGCCAAAAGTAAGTCTAAACATCCTATCTTTTGTTGTTCTGTCATTTTCTAGGTAACTTACCTCGGCTGCTGATCATTTTGAACAGTTAGGGTCGCGCTACTGGACTTTTCTACCTATATACCGTGTTTTTAGTCTTTGACAATGTTATATATGTTAGAGAGATGAAAGAAGAAGTTATTTAAGCTATCTAGAATGTTATATTGCCATGAATAAAAAAGAAAATAACAATTATACTACACCCCCTCATGTTATTGACGTACATGTATGTCTATCGGTGTTAAAGGGTTAATGCCATACATGTATGTGTACATTGTATACCAATAATGCCAAACATGAGAGAATTTTTTGAAATTTATCACGAGTGAATCAGTCAAAATATGTACCGTATAGTGGAAAATTTTCATGGCCCAAAAATTTCGCTGATCCATTCAAAATCAATTTCATAGCTTTCTTTTCATGGTTTTCTACTTTTCGGCCATCTTGAACCGTATTTGAATCGATTTTTGCAGATTTTATTTTCGTGAATTTAAAAAAAACGTGAAATCCATAAAATTTTTCCGCTATACGGTATTATGGTATGAAGTGTGAACCACTTACATGTACATACAATGTATATTTACATGTACATGTACATGTACATGTATGTGTACCTTTTAGAAACACAAAAATTTGCAAAAACAAAATCTTGACCAATTACTTGATACACAGTATGTATCCACTGCATAAACATGTAATGCTTAGTATAATTTTACTTGAGTAGATTACAACAAAATTATGAACACTACATAAGTTTTGGACAAAAACAATTAGCTATTACAGTATTATGTTTTTTGTTAAACGTATAAAATTTTGATGCAAATAAATTTAAACTCCACTATAGGTGCAACTTGAATCTATAACTCAACTGTATAATGAATCTTGAAATAATTCAAATCAAGACTCTATACACACATGTAATACAAAGCAGATACATTAATGATAGGAAGCAGTTTTAGTATTACCAAACATGGTTCTGCCTAAGAGGTGATCAGAGACTACAGTTATTCCTTTTAAATTTATATACATGTCTGAATATCATTTATTAGTAATTATATGGTTGTTCTAACTAATGAACTAGTTGTTTATATTTCGTTGATCCCAACCATCCCTCACCATCATAGACCATACATTATAGCACTTTACTTTAAAGAAGCAATACTTTTGCGTTTTCACAAATTAGCATGCAACCACAACATTAAAGCTCTGCTAAATATCTCAATTGCCAATAAAGGCGTGGCACTAACATAACAAATCCACAAAGTTATTTCTGCGAAAAATTCATTTTTATGAATCTGCAAGAGTTTTGCTCCTCAAAATAAAGTGTTATACATATATGATAACTTCAAAATCATATAAAACAAATTGATTAAGGAAAATTTCCTACTTTACTTGCCTACAGGCCCCACAATAAAGTGATAATTAATGTAAATTTTTCTAAAAAATGCAGAAAATTAATACCTTCACTTCGTACGATCTGAAGAAAACATTCGACTTGAAATAATACAAGGCCTCGTCAATGACATCTTGATCATCATCTGAAGGAATATGGGTGTGGTTATAAAAGGGGTGTGGCAAGTCTTACTTGATTTTGGTGCTGGGCCCTTGAAGGACGTCCTTAAGGGCAACAGGGCCAAGTTACCAATAGTACGGGCGTCATCAGAATTGAATGATGAGTGGTAAGACTGTACAAGATAATAAAGAATCTACAATGGAGTCACTTACTGTCATTTCTCTCTCTGTCGATCTTTAGGCTGAGTTGATTTAACGAGATCACGTGAGTTGTGGTCACGCCTACTAAGCCACACCTTCATTAAGATGGCGGCATGCAATGATGTGCTTTTTGTATTTTGGCATTAGATACTATTTAGAAAATGATCACCTTAAATAAATATCAAAAAAAAAACATAAAAATTATTAGTTTGGATATCAATTTATTAATACACAAATTGCAATATGCTAGCACTATTTCTTGGATCACACTCCTCACCCAGTGCCAATCTGTCCCTTACCATTGATAACAATGTATCGTAGTGGACCAGAGCAGCCAACACAACACAAACATGAAACAGCTGATGGCTGTGAGCCCAGACATCGAATTTACCAGGGAAGAACCTCTCTGGTACTCTCAGAACATATAAACTAGCACCTATGAGATAGAGGGACCCCATTAGTACCACACCCGTGATATAACCAGCATACGGCTTGATTAGTAAGCCACCACTTAATATTAATTCCAGACCTGGGACTACCGCATATAACCCAAAAGCAACAAACATTCCAAAACGAAGTGGACGGTATTTAGGTGTACTGAATTTGCTCCAGAGACTCACACAAATGCACGTGACACAGAGTGCTGCCAGGATTGCAGTGTGTATGTGCCTTGATAGCTGACGACAATAGAAGAAGTAGTAATAGCAAGGGATGCTAGAGCCAGTGATGAGGAAAGCTATTCCTGAGTAATCACAGCGGCTTAGAATGGAGTGAGCTGCCTGGGAGTGATTGCAAAGAGTGTGGAACACAGTCGAACAGAATAAACAAGTCATTGCTCCAAGGAAGAAGATGAAAATGACAACTTGTTCTTGCCATGGAAGGTCGCTAATGACAATGTTGCTTTCGAAAAGGAACGTGATATAATCACGAAAACAATAAACACTCAAAGTGAGAGAAACAAAGAAAACAAACCCAACGAGATGCGTCCATATATTCCATGTCTCGGTGTGCATACGGAATATGCTCTTAATGCAGCCACGTATTGAGTACATCGGTGGACGATGATGGTAATGAAGGAATTCATTGTCCCGTAGCCATTCTGGGAGTGAATCAAATGAGACAGCATTCCAAGCACGACTGGCAATCTTCTCAATGTGTGAGATACCAGAGGCCACTAGAGAGGAAGAGGAGGAAGACAGGAGATCCTCCATAGTTACCTCAGACTGAGCCCCAGATTGAGGAGTCTTTCTCTTTCTCCTTCTTTTCTTTATGCTGCCCTTTGTTTCCGACATTTATGAGAAGACGAGTGGCACTGTAAGCATTTGGAGAAACTATTATTATACCCGGTTTACATGCCTTTGAGAACTGAGGAATGCATCAATGATCAATGCAATCCCTCATGCTAGAATCATGGCTCAAATCAATGGCCTGATCACTAAAAGGTGGAGCTGGTCGGTCGGTCGGTCATAATGAACAACGCGCGGGATCGCGCGCGAAAAATTAGCCACGCCCATGGGCACAAACCACACCTACTTTGTCACCATATCGCTTCGTCCATAGTATATGATCCATCGGACCATTGGACACAAGATATGTCTCCACAAAAGCATGCACGATATGAGCTGTGACTATTTCTGATGACATAATAAAAAGTCTCATCAAAGTTCCCCCCTCTCTCTCTCTCGCTGAGGCTAGCTGCTAGACTAGTCTATACTGTATCGTTTGAATAGTCTCGCTGTTGACACCAGAAACGGTACAAACAAACCAAGAAAGGAAGAGACTCTGATCATGGACGCTACACGTAAGAGAGAAGCTGTATCCACTTCTCCAAGCCCGTCTTGCTCGTCTGGACTCAACAGTGTTGTCCCAGGGGTCACTGGAGTCTCAAAGAATTGGAAATCAGTTTCATTCGAGTCTCTCCCACTCTGGCTGAGGGACAATGAATTCCTCCTCACTAGTCACAGACCTCCTATGGGATCCATCTTTCATTGCATTAAAACAATATTTGCCATACACACGCAGACGTGGAACATATGGACCCATCTCCTTGGTTTCTTACTATTCCTTGGCCTCACTATGAGTGTGTTCCTATTCCGTGACAATATTACTCACCTTTTTGAGGAGAACGTTACCATAAGTGAACTCCCACTCCACGAGCAAGCCATCGTCTCATTATTCTTCATAGCAGCCATGATATGCCTCTTCTGCTCTACCACCTACCACACTCTGTCTAATCACTCCGAATGGTATTACACTTTCTTCTGTCAGTTGGATTACGCCGGCATTGCTTTACTAATAGCGGGCTCTAACATCCCAGCATATTACTACTCCTTTTATTGTCGCCCAATATCAAGGACCTTTCACATAGTGATGATAGCCATCTTGTGTGCTGCCTGCATTACCTTCAGCCTGTGTAAGGTTTTTCACAAGCACTCTCACAGACTCCTACGTTTCATAGTCTTCGCTTCGTTTGGGTTCTATGGAGGAGTACCAACACTTCAACTTTTCGTTGAGAAAGGCCCAGTAGAGCCGTACTGGTCGTACCTGCTAGGGCTAGGACTAATGGCGGCACTTTATACGGGCGGAGCAATCCTGTATGTAACACGAATACCAGAGAGGTTGTATCCTGGACTTTTCGATGTATATGCACACAGTCATCAGCTGTTTCACATTTGCGTTATCCTGGCAGCCCTTGTTCACTATTATAATTTAATCAATATGATCAAGAATCGGTTCCTACTGGACGACTGCGTAAGTGTACTCTAATCCTGTTGATTTTTTAATTCTTTTTTTTGTGTCTCCGAAAATCAAGAATTACAGCAACTTATTTGCACAACAGTGTTATTATTATTATTGTAAATTCACATTCACTACCCGTAATAACAATACACTTAGCACAAATATTTAAGTCACACGCAAACAGACACTCTATTCTCGTCCTATATTTCTTGCACTCATACATTTTTATTATCAAAAAGATTAGCAGAAAAATGCTATAATTTTTATAGTGTAAAGTAAATTGAAAAGAATTCTAGCAGATTCAATTCTTGTAGTCGCATCCCACCAGCATTGTTACACAATGAACAAAGAACTGGAGACACTATTCATTGATAAAGCTGCTATTAATAACAAGATACTGTCTACATGCATTCAACAATACATCAATCGATTCCACATGTATCCAAATTTGTAACAGATAAAAAGACAGCCTGTGATATCACTGTGTGTTGGCTAGCTGAGAAGCTTTATTACAATCTAGCCACAATCTCACCACTCAGTCATAAAAGTCCTCTTAAATCAAACTTCACATGAACAAACTCATTTATAAAAATAAAATTAATATCAATAATAATAATAATAATAATAATAAAATGTTATTTTTACCTAGAAAATTATATAATAGTACCCTACAGTTCATGACCACACATCCTGAAGGTAGCGCCCTCTCTTCTGAAGCTTCTTAATGTATTCAGTAGCCTCTGTCTCTGTCTTTCCTCCGTGTTCCTTTATTATTGACAACAGTGTGTTCTGTACATCACGTGCCATATTACGAGCATCACTAAGAGAAGAAAGAGAGAGAAAAAGAATTGTAAGAGAGAGAGAGAGAGAAATAAAGAAATACATTTATACATGTACATAAAGAGAATGGCAAGAGATGACATGCACATCATGTGTGCAATAGAATTTTAATATAATGGTAACAGAAGTGGCATCAATATTTAATTAATAGAGTAGTAAGAGGGAAATTAGAGAAGATGAAAGAGCTCTTACCCACACACATAAAAGAAACCTTGACCCTCAATAAGTTCCCAAACTTCTTTCCCTTTCT